GGTCAAGCTCCCTGGGGGGACAAGACTACTACACTTCTGTTCCCAGTGATCAAAGATAAAGCAATTCCTGTCACAAAATGTAGAGGTGAGCAGAACAAGTGCTGGATAACGAAGCTGTCCATTCATTTACTCATTCATCGATGCTGAATACAAGAAGCCCACCAGGTGCCAGGGCCTAGGTGTGGAGAGGAAAATAAGTAGTAACAAACCCTGTACTGTAGAGTTTATCACCTACTGAGGAGGTAAACATTACCCAAATTGTTACTCACTTAGTTATGAAAAGCAGGGCAACAACTAAACCCGCTCGCTAAGTAATTCACATAAGCAGGCAGGGCCTCCAATTTGGAATCTGTAAAATGCCAAGTACCAACAGGATTGACTTCTAGGCAGTCAGATAATCCAGTGTCTCCTTTGGTTTCTGTCTCTTCAGGTATTTTCTCCCTGGCATGTAGACAACTGGATTAGAAGAATGAGGTTTGGAGGCCAACCAGCTATCTATCTTGAGCAACTTACTTCAACTCTCTGAGCCTCAGTTTCCTTACTCTACAACATGGCTACCAAGAGGCCTTCCCTCACTGCTTTGCTGGAAGGGTCACAGAGGACCACCATCCGTTCCAGGGGGAAAGAGACTGGGCCACTCTTTCTTTCTGCTGCCTTGTCAGGACCCAGTAGGACAACACTGGGTTCTACTTTGGGGAGAAGCAGAATCATCTGGAATCGTCCTCTGATGTCCCTCTTCGGTGACAGGCATCTACCCCACAGTGTCTCTCTTCTACAGTATGAACCAGGACAGGATTTGGGATATGGAGATTAGGGTTTCCTTCTGGTCCCCTTTCCCCCAACTTCTAGGTCACAAAACTCACGAAGTCATCTGGCCTCACTGCAGAGCCAGCTGTGGAGTCTGGCTCACCGATCTCCCGTGACAATGAAGTCTACAGACTTCGTGGACAGCTTCTCAGCCTCAAAAAAGAGTCAAGTAAAGAAATAACTTACCAGCCCAAGTTTCTGCACACCCCATCTCTTCCAACTTTTGTGCGGGCCACCTCTGGCAAAACTCAGTGAGAAGAACAGCCCAGTCACACTGATTTTCACATAAATGCCAGGAAATAGTGACAAATGGCTGGAAAACCCATCTGTGGCTCCATGGGACCCTCCCCTGCTCCTCCAACTCCCCCCAGAATCAGGACTATCCTAGGTCACTCTGAAGAAGGAAGTGGCAAAGGCCTCAAGAAGTGGAGCCAACTGAGAGCTAGAAATGTTATTGAAGTCCTAAATGACAATGCAAAACACTCCACTTTCATTTTATCCTACTAGCATTTTTTCAGACAGAAAGATGGATCTCTTATCTTCTAAATCTACCCCCTAAAAAGAATCATTGTTATTGTTAATCATATTATCATTAAATATACTGTCTATAGCCCAACTCATTGTTTTGCTTTAGGCTATTTTATTATTTTTAACTGACAAAAAGTATGTGGGGAGTATGCATTCTGAAATGTGCATGTATATATTGTTGCTCACCATAGTCACCACACTGTGCAACAGATCTCCTGAACTTATTCCTCCATGTAACTAAAATTTTGTGTCCTTTGCCCAATTTCCCCCCTTCCTCTAAAGGCCCTGATAACCATCGTTCTACCTTCTGCTTCTAAGAGTTTAACATGTTCAGATTCCACACACTTACAAGATCGTGTGGTGTGATACTTTTGTTTGTGTGTCTTATCTCACACGGTATATCTTCCAGGCTCATCTGTGTTATCCAGGATTTTCACATATCTTGAGGCAGAAATACTCTATCATGAATATATGCCACGCATTCCTTTTTCAGTTATTCAGTGGTGGACATTCGGGCTGATTCTGTATCTTGTCAATTGTGAATAATGCTGCAGTAAACGTAAGACTGCAGATATCTCTGTAACACACTGACTTCATCTGTCTCATCTGGATATATATCCAGGAGTGGGACTGCCGGGTCCCGTGGGAATTCTATTTTTAAGTTTTTGAGGAACCTCTGTTCCGCTCTGTATAATGGCTACACTAATTTACATTCCCATTAACAAGCATTCCCTTTTCTCCACATCCTCACCAATACCTGTTATCTATTACCTTTCTTATATTAGCCATTCTTACAGGTGAGAGGTAATAAGCCCATTGTGATTTGAGCTGGAATTGGTGATGCTGGGCATTTTCTCATAGATGCACAGGGTATCTATAAGTCCATTTTCAAAGACTGTCTATTCCAGTCCTTCACCCATTTTAATTAGATTATTTGCTTTCTTGCCAGAGCTATCTGAGAAACAGATAACTGTATCAATGTATGGTTTGCAGATATTTTCTTCCCTTCCACTTCCACGCTGGTGCTTATGTGCTGTGTAGAAGCTTTTTAGTTTGATGAAAACACATTAGTCTCATTTTACATTTGTTTCCTGTACTTTTGAAGATGTATCTAAAACATTACATAGAGCAGTATCATGGAGGTTTCCGCCTTTTATTCCTAGGAGTTTTATAGTTTCAGGTCTTATGTTTACATTTAATCCATTTTTAGTTGATTTTGTATAGGGTGTGAAATACGCATCCAATTTCATTCTTCTGCATACAGATATCCAGTTGTCCCACCAATGTTTATTGGAGAATTTGTCCTTTCTCCCTTGTACATTCTTGGCATCTTTATCAAATACAAATTAACTATAAATATGTAGATTTACTTCTGGGCTCCCTATTCTGTTCTCTTGGTTTATGTGTCTGCTTTATTTAACATGCTGTTTTGATTATTATAGATTTGTGTTATATTTTGAAGTCCAACTGTGTGATGCCTCCAGTTTTGTTCTTTTTATTCAAATCTACTTTAGGTATCTGAGGTCTCTTGTGGTTCCACACAAATTTTATGGTTGCTTTTTCTATTACTGTAAAAAGTCTCATTGGAATTTGACAGGGATTATAGTAAGTCTATAGATTTCCTTGAGTAACATGAACATTTTAACAATTTTAATTATTCCAATCCATGACCACAGCCACTCTATTTATTTGTGTCTTCTTCAGTTACTTTCATCATTTGGTGTATATATCTTTCATCTCCTTGGCTAAATGTCTTACTAAGATTTTTTTGGGGGGTTTTTGGTTTTTGGTGAGTGGGGTGGAAGCTATGATAAATAAATTGTTTTCTTGGTCTCTTTTTTAAATAGTTTGTTTTTAGTGTACTAACTCATGTTTTAATAGTTCATTTTAAGATAGGCAAAGTTTCAGCCACAGGCCACATTCAAAACTGAAAGATTTTGCCCCTGAGACTTCCATGGAATCTGGACAGGACCCCTTACTTACTGTTTGATCTTGATTTAGTTCCCTACCTTCTCTGGGCTTCAATTCCTTTCTCTTTGAAAGGAAGATAAAACCTCAAATTGTTTTCATGGGGATTAAGGTAAGCAGCGGAAGGAGCTGATCATGCACGAAAACTTGAGTTCAAGTCCAAGTTCTACCATTAATGAGGACTTAGGAAAGTTAAATAGCCTCTTCATGTCTCTGTTTCTTCACCATATGATGGAAATACTAATATCTCCTTCTTCACAGGGTTCCTGTGATGATTCAATAAGTTCATAAAAGTAAAGCTCTTAGAACAGTATCTAGCAGATGGTAAGCTAAATAAGTTGTAGCTGCTGTTATTACTGTTATTCTGTTAATAACAGTAAGAATTTTAGTTAACATTTTAACAATTTGTCCTCAGAAATTGGAGATGTGCTATGTACATGAACCAACTCCCCATGAAGAATGTGATTATTATGTGTTCTACAAACATATACTGATTAAAAAAAATTAAAACTGAACTGAAAAAAGATACTTTAATAGAAAATAAGGAAATAGTAACCAACAGGGTCATGCATTCTGTGAACCACTGAATTAAGACTTTCCAATTTAATCTTCCAACACCTGTGTAGGATAAACATTTTTATCCAAATTTCCAGCTTGGAAATGTGAGGCTCTTTTGGATTTTTAAAACTACTCTCAAATCACACATTGTTAGCAACAAAGACAAAAATAATACCTGCATTTAGCAAAGACTTAACAAGCATCTACCATGTAAATGCTAGAAGGCACGTTTGCATAAGAAATAGAAAGATGGGCAAGGGAGAGCTGAGCCCTCAGCAAGCTGACCGAGCCAGGGAGACCTTCAGTTTGCTGTGCCCAGGAAGACAGACAGGAGAAAAGATGCTGGCAATATGGTGAGAGCAAGGTCTACCCAGAGGCTACTGTAGAGATAGTGCTGGGGAGATCGGGGAGAGGTGGCAAGAAGGCATGGAAGGGAGCAATCAGGAGCTGAATCTGAAAGGGTGCATGGGACTTTGTCCAATGCAGGGGGCAGAGGAGGTGACGCAGAAAAGAAAACCCCAGGGATCAGTTCCAAAAGACAGGATGGCTCAAAGGAGGGACCAGGATGTGGTTCTGCTACACTCAAATGTGTGGCATGAGATGGGCACTGGAGACCAAAGCCTGCAGACAGTGTCTCATCCACCTGGAGAAAAACCTTCCACCATGGCCACTCTTTGTGCCCATCTGATGTTGTCTGGTCTGCTGATTTGTCTACCTGACCTTTTTTCCCCTCTCCACTCAGTAAGTTCTATGACAGCAGACTTTGTTTTTATCCAGACTCTTCTGCAGAGAGCTAGAACAAGATCTGAAACGCAAATGTGCATCAAATATGTAAATATACTGCAATCACCAAGCAGTTAGATGTGCAAACGATAGGCCAAGATGCACAGTATTTAAAGATTGAACACATTCAAAATCATTAGTAAATACTTTTTACGAAATAGCTCAAAACTTGGGATAGTCTTCCAATTTTTCACCATAACACATCTCTGAAAAGGCTCTTCTTTTTCAAGTGATGTTCAAACTACCTCCATATATATATATATAGCTTGGCCAATCAAGTCACATCTTTCTCCACTTGGTTATTCAGTTTCCTGAATTATAAAACTGGAGAGTGAATGACAATCTGGATTACTAACCTCTTGAAGCAGTTCACATTCATAGGCCAGCTGTCTCCAGAGCTCCTTAGTTGTTGAACTCCAAGCCACACTGGTTCTCAAGTGCTTGTGCATACAGCAGAAAGTCCTTGGTGAGGTCTGGTGGCCCCCTGGTGCCTTCAAGTAAATAGAGAGAGAGAGAAAGAGAAGTTAAGAAGGAAGAAAGACGGCTGGGATTTAGCTTAGTGGTTCCACCACCTGCCTCATAAGCACAAGGTCCTGAGTTTGATGCCAAGTAACAAAAAAAAAAAAAAAAAAAAAAA